TCAGTGAGTTTTCATGTTAGAGAGAGTGGGGTATAGTGACACAGTAACAGAGGGATTGAGGGCCTGCTCAGTGAGTTTACATGTTAGAGGGAGTGGGGTATAGTGACACACAGTAACAGAGGGATTGAGGGCCCTGCTCAGTGAGTTTACATGTTAGAGGGAGTGGGGTATAGTGACACACAGTAACAGAGGGATTGAGGGTCCTGCTCAGTGAGTTTACATGTTAGAGGGAGTGGGGGTATAGTGACACAATAACAGAGGGATTGAGGTCCTGCTCAGTGAGTTTACATGTTAGAGGGAGTGGGGTATAGTGACAGTAACAGAGGGGTTGAGGCCCTGCTCAGTGAGTTTACATGTTAGAGGGAGTGGGGTATAGTGACACAGTAACAGAGGGATTGAGGGCCCTGCTCAGTGAGTTTACATGTTAGAGGGGGTGGGTATAGTGACACAGTAACAGAGGGATTGAGGGCCCTGCTCAGTGAGTTTACATGTTAGAGGGAGTGGGGTATAGTGACACAATAACAGAGGGATTGAGGGCCCCGCTCAGTGAGTTTATATGTTAGAGGGAGTGGGGTATAGTGACACATTAACAGAGGGATTGAGGGTCCTGCTCAGTGAGTTTACATGTTAGAGGGAGTGGGGTATTAGACACAGTAACAGAGGGATTGAGGGCCTGCTCAGTGAGATAACATGTTAGAGGGAGTGGGGTATAGTGACACAGTAACAGAGGGATTGAGGCCCTGCTCAGTGAGTTTACAAGTTAGAGGGAGTGGGGTATAGTGACAGAGTAACATTAGGATTGAGGGCCCTGCTCAGTGAGTTTACAAGTTAGAGGGAGTGGGGTATAGTGACAGAGTAACATTAGGATTGAGGGCCCTGCTCAGTGACTTTACATGTTAGAGGGAGTGGGGTATAGTGACAAAGTAACAGAGGGATGAGGGCCCTGCTCAGTGAGTTTACATGTTAGAGGGAGTGGGGTATAGTGACAGTAACAGAGGGATTGAGAGCCTGCTCAGTGAGTTTACATGTTAGAGGAAGTGGGGTATAGTGACAAAGTAACAGAGGGATTGAGGGTCCTGCTCAGTGAGTTTACATGTTAGAGGGAGTGGGGTATAGTGACACAGTAACAAAGGGATTGAGGGCCTGCTCAGTGAGTTTACATGTTAGAGGGAGTGGGGTATAGTGACAAAGTAACAGAGGGATTGAGGGCCCTGCTCAGTGAGTTTACATGTTAAGAAGAGGTAGGGTATATAGTGACACAGTAACACCAGAGAGTTGAGGGCCTGCTCAGTGAGTTTACATGCTAGAGGGAATGGGGTATAGTGACACAGTAACAGAGGGATTGAGGTCCTGCTCAGTGAGTTTACATATTAGAGGGAGTGGGGTATAGTGACAGAGTAACAGGGGGATTGAGGGCCCTGCTCAGTGAGTTTACATGTTAGAGGGAGTGGGATATAGTGACACAGTAACAGAGGGATTGAGGGCCTGCTCAGTGAGTTTACATATTAGAGGGAGTGGGGTATAGTGACACAGTAACAGAGGGATTGAGGGACTGCTCAGTGAGTTTACATGTTAGAGGGAGTGGGGTATAGTGACAGAGGATTGAGGCCCTGCTCCAGTGAGTTTACATGTGTTAGAGTGGGGGTATAGTGGCAGTAGCAAGTTGAGGGCCTGCTCAGTGAGCTTACATGTTAGAGGGAGTGGGGTATAGTGACACACAGTAACAGAGGGATTGAGGGGCCTGCTCAGTGAGGGTTACACATGTTGGGAGTAAGGGTATAGTGACAGTAACAGAGGAGTTGGGTGCCCCTGCTCAGTGAGTTTACATTTTTAGAGGGAGTAGATATGGTGACACACACAGTAACAGAGGGATTGAGGGCCTTGCTCAGTGAGTTTACATGTTAGAGGGAGTGGGGTATAGTGACACAGTAACAGAGGGATTGAGGGCCTTCTCAGTGAGTTTACATGTTAGAGGGAGTGGGGTATAGTGACAGTAACAGAGGGATTGAGGGCCTGCTCAGTGAGTTTACATGTTAGAGGGAGTGGGGTAGTGACACAGTAACAGAGGGGTTGAGGGCCCTGCTCAGTGAGCTTACATGGTAGAGGGAGTGGGGTATAGTGACACAGTAACAGAGGGATTGAGGCCCTGCTCAGTGAGTTTACATGCTAGAAGGAGTGGGGTATAGTGACACAGTAACAGAGGGATTGAGGGCCCTGCTCAGTGAGTTTACATGTTAGAGAGAGTGGGGTATAGTGACACGGTAACAGAGGGATTGAGGGCCCTGCTCAGTGAGTTTACATGTTAGAGGAAGTGGGGTATAGTGACACACAGTAACAGAGGGATTGAGGGCCTGCTCAGTGAATTTACATGTAGAGGGAGTGGGGTATAGTGACACAGTAACAGAGGATTGAGGGCCCTGCTCAGTGAGTTAACATGTTAGAGGGAGTGTGGTATAGTGACACAGTAACAGAGGGATTGAGGGCCCTGCTCAGTGAGTTTACATGTTAGAGGGAGTGGGGTATAGTGACACAGTAACAGAGGGATTGAGGGCCCTGCTCTGTGAGTTTACATGTTAGAGAGAGTGGGGTATAGTGACACAGTAACAGAGGGATTGAGGGCCCTGCTCAGTGAGTTTACATGCTAGAGGGAGCGGGGTATAGTGACACAGTAACAGAGGGATTGAGGGGCCCTGCTCAGTGAGTTTACATGTTAGAGGGAGTGGGGTATAGTGACACAGTAACAGAGGGATTGAGGGCCTGCTCAGTGAGGTTACATGTTAGAGGTGGGAGTATAGTGACAGTAACAGAGGATTGAGGGGCCTGCTCAGTGAGTTTACATATTTAGAGGAGTGGGAGGTATAGTGTTGACAACAAGCCCAAGGCCCTGCTCAGTGAGTTTACATGTTAGGCGGGGTGAGGTATAGTGACACAGTAACAGAGGATTGGGGGCCTGCTCAGTGAGGGTTTACATGTGTTAGGCGAGGGGTGGGAGTATGACAGTGTTTTCAGGAGGGATTGAGGGCCTGCTCAGTGAGTTTACATGTTAGAGGGAGTGGGGTATAGTGACACAGTAACAGAGGGATTGAGGGCCTGCTCAGTGAGTTTACATGTTAGAGGGAGTGGGGTATGTGACACAGTAACAGAGGGATTGAGGGCCTGCTCAGTGAGTTTACATGTTAGAGGGAGTGGGGTATAGTGACACAGTAAAAGAGGGATTGAGGGCCTGCTCAGTGAGTTTACATGTTAGAGGGAGTGGGGTATAGTGACACAGTAAAAGAGGGATTGAGGGCCCTGCTCAGTGAGTTTGCATGTTAGAGGGAGTGGGGTATAGTGACACAGTAATAGAGGGGTTGAGGGCCCTGCTCAGTGAGCTTACATGTTAAAGGGAGTGGGGTATAGTGACACAGTAACAGAGGGATTGAGGCCCTGCTCAGTGAGTTTACATGTTAGAGGGAGTGGGGTATAGTGGCAGTAACAGAGGGATTGAGGGCCCTGCTCAGTGAGTTTACATGTTAGAGGGAGTGGGGTATAGTGACACAGTAACAGAGGGATTGAGGGCCCTGCTCAGTGAGTTTACATGTTAGAGGGAGTGGGGTATAGTGACGCAGTAACAGAGGGATTGAGGGCCTGCTCAGTGAGTTTACATGTTAGAGGGAGTGGGGTATAGTGACACAGTAACAGAGGGATTGAGGGCCTGCTCAGTGAGTTTACATGTTAGAGGGAGTGGGGTATAGTGACAGCGACAGAGGATTGAGGCCTACTCAGTGAGTTTACATGTTAGGAGGTGAGGTATATGGTGACACAGTAACAGAGTTTGGGGGCTGCTCCAGTGAGTTTGCTGCTAGAGGAGTGGGGTATAGTGACCGCAGTAACAGAGAGTTGAGGCCTGCTCAGTGAGTTTACATGTTAGAGAGTGGGGTATAGTGACTGTGCTGGGGATTGAGGGCCTGCTCAGTGAGCTTACATGTTAGAGGGAGTGGGGTATAGTGACACAGTAACAGAGGTATTGAGGGCCCTGCTCAGTGAGTTTACATGTTAGAGGGAGTGGGGTATAGTGACACAGTAACAGAGGGATTGAGGGCCCTGCTCAGTGAGTTTACATGTTAGAGGGAGTGGGGTATAGTGACACAGTAACAGGGGGATTGAGGGCCCTGCTCAGTGAGGTTACATGCTAGAGGGAGTGGGGTATAGTGACACAGTAACAGAGGGATTGCGGGCCTGCTCAGTGAGTTTACATGTTAGAGGGAGTGGGGTATAGTGACACAGTAACAGGGGGATTGAGGGCCTGCTCAGTGAGTTTACATGTTAGAGGGAATGGGGTATAGTGACACAGTAACAGGGGGATTGAGGGCCCTGCTCAGTGAGGTTACATGCTAGAGGGAGTGGGGTATAGTGACACGGTAACAGAGGGATTGAGGCCCTGCTCAGTGAGTTTACATGTTAGAGGGAGTGGGGTATAGTGACACAGTAACAGGGGGATTGAGGGCCTGCTCAGTGAGTTTACATGTTAGAGGGAGTGGGGTATAGTGACAAACGGTAAGGGTAGTGGTAATGAAATAGGTTGCTAGAAAAGTATTCACTGAGAACTTTGGTTATTTTTGACAGTTGCAGGTTCATAAGTGCAGACTTTTAAAGAAAGGTGGCTGCCTAGTGTCTACACAACAGATTGCTTTAAAACAAGTAAGCCCAGCACAGCCGCAGAACTTCCGCTGGTGCGACTGCACTGGGGTCAGCACAATAAGGCTGTTCTTGGGGCCACCCAAAGGGCATGTGTCATCAGTAGCCCGGTCGTGCTCTGCAATGCTTTAAGAGACCGACCGAGCCCCTTTAATGATGATGATCTTGGGAGGAAGTGAGATCCTGCCACTTACTACCCTTTGCCCACCCTTGCAATAGGGGGGCCAAAAAAATTATTGCACCAGTGCCCTCTCTATGTTAGTTCTGGCACTGGCTCATCATAAATGTTTGCTCTAGGCGTAAACCTAGCTGACCTAGCTGACACACGCATATTTTGAAAAATTAAGTTAGGAAAACAAAAACAAAAATCCAACTGGTTAGTTCATACTTCAATTTCAGAGTAGATCAGCTCCAATTTACAAATCTTAACGGATAGAGTTTTAAATAACCTCCAACGTTGCCAGTAATTAACAGACAACGGAGCCTTGTAGGTAGAATGTCCTATGACAACATAAGGTCCCTGCCACATTAGTTAATTATATCACAAGGCCAACACCGTGATTTAGGGAATAATTTTCTCATTGCTGTTTAAATTGCACCTTTGTGATTCTGCACAGATAGGGGCTGGCAGTCAGCCACTTAAATGCCCTGTTATACAGTAATGATAGGTCCAGCTGAGCTGCAAATTCCTGGCTCATTTTCTATTAAACAACATAAATTTAGCCTTGAGGCAAATCCTGCTGACAATTCATTAAATGTTACTATTTGTTTAGCGAAATCAGATGGTGCAACCAAAGAAAATTATATCGTAATCAATGAGCATTGTATGGACGGATTTGGAAAGACAAAATTCGAAGATAAAATTATTTATCACACAGTCCATTGTAGTAACACAGTAAAGAATACTTTAAGTGCTGCGTCTCAATGTTCTGTTTTGTATAATGCTAATTTGCATGTAAAATTATTTGCTTTTGAGACTAAACATTTTTTTTGC